TGTATTTTGGGGGCATAAATAAACCCGCGGGAGCAGTTGAGACAGCGGGAGTTGGTGAGATATTATCTTAAAAGGAAAATGGGATGCAGCCCTATCAAAATAAGTAAATCCTCACTTCATAACTCATCGAAATTGCTAGTCAACTATTGTAAAACCTTCATATAGATCATCTCGACTTGAATATTATGGTGGTGAAAAAAAATTAGGATTTCAACTTCTAAAAATCTTGTATATTGCAACAAATTATCTAGACCATCTATTTTTCTTTAAAAATAAGTGTTCACATATCCGAAAGACTTGTGTCATTTTTTGAGTTTCAAATTTTATTGTCTGTATTGGAAATTGACTTTAGAGTCATCATAAAGATTTCCATCATCGAAAGTACTTTTCGGATGAGGATTTGAGGTGAGGCTTTATTTTGTTTTTATAAAGCCTAGGCCTTATAAAAACTTCATCCTATCCTAAATGGACTGTTCACATATTTTGGAGAAAAGATCAATCAATTTTCCTTAGGGATGGCAACGGGTCGAGTCGGGTCCGTACATGCTGGAACAGGTACCAGACCCGCCCCAACTAAGTCTCATATGGACCCGGACCTGGTTCGGGTTTAAGTGACTTGGACCTGGACCTAACCAAAGCCATTTCGATCAGCCCCGACTAAGTCTCATACCTTCTTGCATCACAAGGTTTGGATTATCTCTCTAATAATAATAATAGGGTTTTTAGAGAAAGTCGTTCAAACGAAAGATTGAAATGCGAAGCCCTCTAAAGCGAGTGTTTTGATGTTGCAATCCCCAATTTGATGTGTAACATAAGCTATACATCAAAGCATTCGCTACTATGGCAAGGAGTGATTTGATATTCCATGTAGGCTACACATCCAATTGTTCGTAGGAGGTCAAAGCAAGAGCAAAAAGCCCATCGGACCTTGCTACTGCTGGTTGGATTTTGTCAGTAAAAAGGGTAACTACATTCTTGAGACCCCATCCGACCTTGCTACTGCTGGTTGGATTTTGTCAGTAAAAAGGGTGATTACATTCTTGAGACCAAGAGACGGTGTAAAATGATGGGAAAAGTTTAAATAATGTTGAAACTTTATAATATTGAAGTAAGTCGCATCTCAAAAATCCAGTAGAAACGAGTGTCCGAAAGTTGGAAACACTTCCTATCGATAATTTTGATTATAACAAGTTATTTGGAAATAAAAGAATTCCAAGTCTTAAAAATAGTATTTATGCAACACATTATTTGGAACATTTGATTTCAAGATTTATAAATGCTTATAGATATGCTCAATCTTCACCATTTTTAAGATTTTAAATTTCATTATTGGAGTTGCACATAAATTGTCAAGTCATCATAAGATTTTCGATACTAAAATTATATTTTATGCCAAAATTTAGAGCCAGTACAAGTGGTAAGCAGTTAGGCACCTAATACAGCCTCACCCATTGAAGATCCATGAGATTATTCCCCTTCTTCGCTAAAAACCTAAGCAATTGGGGTTTCCTCTTTTTTAAAGTATTTTTAATTAAGTTTGTTTATGAAAAAGTATATTTTTTTTGGTAAGTGAATGGGAGAAGGGCCTTCGCCCTCGGTAGAAATTGAACGAGGGACGTAACCTTACAAAATCGTCCAGCGCTTATCAACTATTTCCGGGTTCTTTCGTACGTGATAAAGTATCATTCAACCATGATTTGGTCGAACCTTTCACCAAAATATAAAGTCGTAGACCGTTGTGTACGCCGTCAACGAAGCAAAACGCGTTGATGACATAATGCCCATCAATCTTTAATAATTAGTGAGCTCATGAGACTCATATCAATTACGTCACAAACATAGCGTAATGGTCTTGAATGCGTACAACATAGACTGCATATAGTAATCAGGGAAAAGCTTATACATATCCTAGGCTCTAAACAATTACATTAGAGCCTACCTCCAAAATTTCAATAGGTTGTTTTGAAGCTAAAATATCTTCAAATTGACCATCTCGACATTAAGATGCATGAACTCGAGAAAAAAATAGATTTTAAGTTTTTAAAGATCGATTCGATCTACACTATTTTTGAAAGTTTAAATTTTATAATTAAATATAAAAATATGTTTTAAGGCTAGTCAAAGATTTCCAATATTGAAACCGCATTTACCGCCACTATTTGAAAGTGGGCTCTAATTTGATTGTTTAGAGCCCAGGTTCTATGCAAACGGCACCTTATTAATAATTTGATAGATAAGAAAAAGTTGATATAAAGTTGAGGCTTTAAAATATGGATCCAGTTTCTATGCAGCCAAGCTCGCATATGTATAAATGTGGGCTTTTTAATCGATTTATTTTTTAGATAGATTTTAGGGCGTAACTTTTAAGGACATGTAACCTCTAACATGTAGATCATGAATATGAAAAAATAAATAAATTGTAAAAACTAGAATTAAGAATTTTAGTAAGAAAACATTTGGACCGTTAGTTTCCATTGTTTTTAGATGGAACGCCTACTTGCATCGATCTTTAAGATGGATGTTTTTTATATTTTCTGGACCACATACCACATGAAACAATTTTCCTTAAAATATAGAATTAAGGTGCACCTTTGAAATCTTTTTAAAAAAGATGGTTTGATATTAGAAAGACTTCTGATTGATCATCTTCATATTGGGATGTATAGATATAGAAAAAAAAAGATTTCAAGTCCCCAAAAATAGTACGTCTTTCAACACATTATCTAGACCATCCATTTTAAAAAATTTCATATGTTTGTAGATCTGTTTGATTTGAACAATTTTTTAAATTTAAAATTTATAATTAGAAATAAAAATAGATATTTATACTGTCTTAGGAATTTTAAGCACGCATTTCATGACAAAATTTGAAAATTCACCTTAATTTGATTATTTAAAGGTGCAACCTTATGCAAATCACACCCTATATAAGGATATAAAATATTTTTTACTCTTCTAATATTCAATACAAAGCAAATCCACTGGTTCCCAATAAAATTGTCGTCCAAGAAACCATTAGAAAGGTTCAAGGCTAAATTTGGAAGCTGGTTCTTAATTTACAGAGAGAGAGGCTACCAGAGACATCACTTAAAAAACGGGGAGAGAGAGAGAGATGCAGTTAAGGCAACAAAAGGGTAACACGAGCATTTACCACGTTCCCATGAGACCATATATTAATACGCCGGTTTTTCCATGCAAAAGATGTGTTCTATAAAATTTTAGGGTGTTGTACATAATTTTAATATGAATTTCTAGGATCTATCTAAGAATCACAACATAAAAGATATATACTTCCCCCTTCATCCAGCTATCCAATTTAGATCAAGTGAGCTATTAACCATTTAATCTAGATCTGACGCCTCAAGAGTATTTCATTTTTAATGTTTTTCTACTAATGATATCAATATAAAATTCGATACATGTTATCAACTAAAAGGGGGGCACCTAAATAAAATATTAAAAAAAAAATTGATAAAATAAAATGACCAAAATACCCCTACAGTTTCAGGGGCATTTTAGTCATTTTTTTATTGGGAATATTTTTTTATATTTTTTATAGGTACGAGTTCAAGAAAGGATTGAATGCCCAAATTTTGGTGCCAAAATATTTTGTATAAAAAAAATTAAAAACAAAATAGTTTAGAGGGTGATATTATGATTGAGACCATCTAAGCCATCTATTCAGAAAGAACGGTTGGATAGGGAGAAGTATAAAAGTTTTATGCTGAAGGGGAAGCATAGAAATCTTCCCCTTTAAATCTTCCCCTTTACTTAAAGTACTCAATATGTGGGTATGAAATCACCCACATGAGGCTTTTACTTCCAGTACTCAATACGTGGGTATGAAATCACCCAAATGAACATGTTAACTACTAATAAAATACCATTAGTTTTTCATAGAAATATCTATCTTACCCCTTTTAATGACCTAAAACTATTTTTACTTAAAAAATTTGTATTACAAAAGAAGGGGCAATGAGTGTCCCAAAATGTTGAGTACATTAAAAACATATGCATATGCAAGGGTACCTTAATATTATCTTTTAAAAATTGTATATTTTGAGTTATTAACTCTTGTTTTGTTTTCAGTTGAAGAATTATATTTTCTCTATTAAATATCACAACATTATTTTTTAAAAGGTAACCGTTTTATTCTCTTTTTCGTTGTTTTTTGTTTTGTTTTTATTTATCTATTTATTTATTTATTAGATTGATCTTGAGGCTCGACAGGTCATTTCCTTAAATTTTGGAGTCTAAAAGTAGTTTTGAGTTTTACCTTAGGGAGCAATGCACATTTTGCTCCCCTAGAGCAGAAACTCATGTGGAATAATAGAAATACGCAATTATGCCCAAACCTTTTAAAAATGCATAAATAGATACATTACGAACTTATCGTTTTGATTTAGGAGCAACATCGTTTGTCTTTCCGCAATTTCTTTCTTTCTCAATAATTTGAGATTGTATATTAAGAGACCATTATCTTTGTTATGACAAGTTCACATGTACTCCTGGTAATTGGATGGCTTAGGGTGTATCATGAAGTTTAGATAATTGTTTTTTTAAATATTTGACTCTAGATAATGAAACTTTTACAACCACTTCATAAAAAATCTAATAGACAAAAAAAGATTGACCTCTTTGTATCAAAAATAAATTGTTTCATCATACGCTTTTCTCTATTTTGAGCTTACCTAAATTACTAACAGGAACTTTGGACTTACCTAAAATACGAACAGGAACGACATCGTAGCCATCCTGGTGTATGGAACCAGAACGTTGTATCATCATTATTATCATAGCCTTTTCTTAATTGTTTGAAGTCCGCTGCTCCAAAGCGCTCCATACAGTACATAAAAGACATCCACTTATCTAAAGTCACTGATAGAGGGCCGAGATTAGTCGTGGCTTTAGTGGAGGATAAATGAAATGCTCACTAGGGACTATGGTTCACTATATATGCATAGTGAATCTCCTGCTTCCTAAATGACTCTCTCTCTCCCATGGCTTCAGAATACGAGGACGAGTTCCACCTCTCTCTCATGTCATTAGATGCAGAAACTCAGCGATTCTCAGATGAGGCATATGCAGGGAGCCTTCAGCTCCAAGAAATCATCTTCTCTTCTATCAAGTCTTCTCCCTCTAGAACTAACCCCTTCTCTCTCTCTACAACAAACTCCTCTTCTCTCTCTGCAAACTCATCCCCTTACAACCCTAAAACCACCCATAAAAGAGGGTTCAGCCTCTTTACTTGGCTCTCGGAGAAGAATCGCAGAAAAGAAACAGAAACTGGATCTTCTTCCTCTGGTTTCTTTTGTGATATTTGCACTGATCACAAAGCCTATGAAGGGAAGTTCTCGAACCCCATATGCTCACATAGCTACTGTAAAGACTGTATTGTGAGGCACATAGAATCGAGATTACAGGAGAATCACACCATGATCAGTTGCCCTAGCCCTTCTTGCAAGCAGTTTTTAGAGAGAGAAAGTTGCAAGTCCTTTGTTCCCAAGAGTGCCTTTGAGAGATGGGGAGCTGCACTCTCAGAGGCCTCAATATTGGGGATCAGTAAGTTCTATTGCCCCTTCAAGGATTGTTCTGAGCTTTTGGAATTTGATGGGGACAGAAATGGTAGCATAAAGGAGAGTGAGTGCCCTTACTGTAACAGGCTCTTTTGTGCTAGGTGCAGGGTGGCATGGCATCATGGATTGGAGTGCTGGGAGTTTGAAAAGGTAAGAGAAGACGAGAGGGGTAGAAATGATATTTTATTCCTTACGCTTGCAGAGGGACAAAAGTGGAAAAAGTGCCCTAACTGTAAGATCTACGTGGAAAAGAAAGAGGGTTGTCCTCATATAACTTGTAGGTATGTCGCCATTTTCTCTCTTTTAATTTTTATTTTTTATTTTTTTTTTATTTTTTTTGTCTTAGGTTTAAGAAGTTTTATTATTTCTTTAATAAAAAAAATAAAAAATAAAAATAAAAAGAAAAGAAATCCAATTGTGACCTATTAAGGTTAAAGCAGCCTCTTGCTTGTAAACCTTGTTAGCCATTTCTACATGTCCTTTCATAATATATTTATAAATTGACTTTTACATGGATAACATATTATTTGCATTCGAGATTGTATACTATGAGGCCATTTGCCTTTGATTCTATCCGATAGGCAATCAGACGGCAGAGTGTGTCATTTCTCGTTGCAAAATCTAAAAGAAAAAGTCGTAGACTTTCCAAATAGTTAATTGTATATCCTAGCCATTTGAATTCACATGATAGCTATGTGTGATTGCGATAATACTGTGAGAAAGATAAATTGTCTTAAGTGTATGTTCCCTTTTGAAATTACTTAAGTTACATTAAAGTCCATCATTAAAGAGTCTAGTGTACCAGGCAACATGTTGCTATTCGAGGCACAAAAATTATATCTCATGCTTTCCCCCTTTGCATTGATTTCCTTCATGATTTTACCTAACTTCTTACAAAACAATTCACCACAATCCTTAAGAATATTTATTTTTATTGTATTTTAAATTCTAAGGACTATGGTAGATTGTTTTTGGTTTTTTCTTGTCTATTTCCAATTTTTGCAGGTGCAAGTACGAATTCTGCTATAATTGTGGATCCTCATGGAGTGATGCACATCGTTGCCGCTAATTAAGATGTGTTAATATGGATTAGAGCACAGAGACGGATTGTTCTTTTTCTCTTTCTTTTTTTCTTTGGCAATCTTGTAGTGATTCCCCCTTGTATTATTCTTCGAAGTACTGTTTATTTAATACGATAAAATACAGTTATTTCCCTAAACAATGCCTCTAAATAAAATTTCCATAACGACTTTCCAAGTCAATCGACTTGATTAAGAAATTGGGTAGTGCAATCAATAATCCATACAAGACCAGGACAACCTACTTAGGTTTTATATTTTATGCAAATTTAACTCCCTCTTCTTTCTCTCTCTAAAGAAATGGCCCTTGTTTGCGTGTCTTAGCTCTTAAGAGATGCGCCTGATCATGCACATAGGAGAAGTAAAAATATTAGCCTGTATCTAATTCCAAATAATTAAATGCTACTTGCTTTTCAATTTTATTACCATGTCTCCTTGTTGGTGTTTTATTGGAGTGGAATCCCCTTTGTATATGCAAGGTCAACTTCTGATTAACTTACTCAGTCAAACCCACCCTATTTTAGTAAACGTTGAATTAGCTTAGAAAAACCACTGAGTTAGTGAAATCAATCAGTTTATCAATAATGTGGTCACTCAGGTAAGATCATTTGACTAAAGGTAACCTCAAATATTTTGCTAGAAAAAGTCTCAATCCTGAAGAAATCGTGGCATTGTATAATATGAGTATCTATCGTTAGGAGTTCTATATTATGAGAATATTTATCTTTGTTAGAAGGATGCCGCAATTACTACTAAGCCTTATCTATACTACATTATTAAGTGAGAGTTAAGGCATAGACACATGGCGCGAAAATAAGAAGGGCCCCTAATGTTATAGAGGTTGTAGGACATATTCTCATATTTAGGGGAAGAGAGAGAAAATTTTGTGCATATAGAGTAGTGATTTTAAAAAGAGAGAGAAAGAAGAGATTTTAGGAAGAGAGATATTGTTTCCATATCTTATTGAGAAATAGGAGAACCTTTTTGGGAAATTATAAAAAATATACCTTAATTTTTACCTAATTAAAAAAAAAAAACCTTAACTTTCATAAACCTAGTCCACACATTTTTCTTCAATTTTGACATTTGTTTTTTTTATCAAAATAGCCTTCACAATAATCATATTACCGCAATATAGCACTCTAAGTATCATAATGACCAAGCTAAGTATTATGGTATTTTAAGTACTGTAAAGATCAGACTAAGAATTACGGTACTTTAAAGACCATAATGCTCAGAAGTGGCAAATGAGAGAGCAAGAGACCCACTGAGCTTTATGGTCTTTAAAGTACCGTAATACTTAGCCAGGTTGTTACGATACATAAAGTACTGTAATGTGGGTTATTACGATAGTTGAAGGGCATAGCATGCACAAAATGTGGATGCTTGAAGGGAGGAGTCTCATTCAAGCACTATAGAATTAATTTCCTTTAACCCATCCTATACCCGGATAAAGGCTAGTTGTGTTAGGTAGGCAGCTAACATAAAATTTTTTCAAAACTCACCATGAATCCATAAAAATTTATGACGATGATGATGATGATATTGGGATTGTCGAGAAAGAGACCATTTAAATTTTATACATGGATGCCACAAATATTCTTGTCCCTTAAATTGTAAAATAGTTGTTGTAAGAGTGTCATTGAACAGCTACAAAGTTCCAAAAAAATATCATCAGACTTCCTAACTCACCCCAAGCCATCCAATTTGATATTGATGAGTGGCAATGATTGTTGTAGAAAATCCCATATATATTTGTAACCAAAAAAATCCAACAAAATCATTATGCAATTGTATACATTACGTTTTAAAGTATTTGGAAATATCAGTTATTTTAAATTATAAGAACTCATAATTAAATATAAAATTAGGCAAGTGAATTATTCCTAGTTAAAAATAAATTAAAAATATAATTTATCATATTCCTACAGATTCAAGAAATATTATTTATTAGGGATCTAATTAGGATATTTGAATAATGGAAATTAATAAATAAAAATAATTACTACGACTTACCTTCAATATAAACACCTAAAAAGTACAAAGAACACCTAAACAAAATACAAACAAAGGTAATGCAATAGGTAAATAACAACAATTATTATGACTTATCTTCAATATAAACACCTAATAAATACAAACACATATAATAGAAAAAAATAAAATAAAAGGAATTACTATGACTTACCTTCAATATGAACTTTGTTAAGCCTCATTGGACTTGAAAAATATTGCAATAGCAAAATTTAAATGTATAAAAATAGGTAGCAACATTTCTTCCCATAATTAAGCACACTATACTAAATGAAGGGTAATGATTTCATGCAACGGTTGGATAGTAATGTGATGCAATAACTTTCAAAAACCATGTTATAACCATTGTTTTGATCCAAATTTTGAAATATACAATCTTTTCATTCTAATGAACAATAAAAGAGAAAAAGAAAAATTTGAAACCACAACCTAGAAAGTAAAAATATAAAAAAAATGATTTTGAATTTTTAAAGACTAAGATCTTGAAATTCATCAAATGAATGGTCTAGATTTGTTTTTGAATGAGACACATTTTGACCATATCTAGGATTCAAATTGAACTTTTTTTGTTTTTTTTAAATTGATTATTGTGATGAAAAGAGTGTGCATGCAAAAGTTTGGGTCATACAAATGCCACAAACATGGTTCTCTAGAAGTGTCGTTGCATTATTCTATTATACAACTGTTGCATGAAATCATTGCTCTTTTTAATTACTCTTTTTTATTTAAATTGTGATTTAAAATTATAATTAACTAAAATTTGGATTGTAAATTAACCTCGTAAGAGGAACCAAATAAAATTAATAAAAAAATTGCAAGAACATATTGACCAAAATATATTAAGGCTTTCTTTCTGTATTTTTTTTGCCTTGTACAATTAGATCCTTTGCTTTTTGTATAGGGCAGTCACAATTACTTACAACCATTCAATGTGAAATCCGATAGTTAGGCTGTATCACAAAGTTTATGAAATTTTCTTTTGAACTTTGAGCATGGTCAATTAAATAAATATAGCCACCAAATTTTATATCCAATGGTCAAAATTAATTATGACCACATTGTGCCAAAGGTAAATGGTCTCTTTATATATTTTTCCTTTAGTTATTATCTTTAATTGGTTCCCATTATAAAATTTAATTTACATTTTAAATTTTGAATAAATATAATAGGGTGTGGTTCGCATAGAGCCAAGGTCTTAAACAATCAAAGTAAAGCGCAACTTCAAATAGGATTGAGAAATATGGTTTCTGGAAATTTTTGTGATAGCATTAAAATATATTTTCATCTTTAATTATAAAATTTAAAGATTCAAAAATAATGTAAATCGAGTAGATCCATGAGAACTTGAAAATTTTGAAAATTGACGATCCAAAAATGTAATGCAAGATACACTATTTCCAAAATTTGAAATACATTTTTTTTTTCATGTCCATGCATATTGATGTCGAGATGATGTTTGAGGATACTTGTGCATCAAAACAATCTCTTCTAGTGAAATTTTTAAGGTGGGCCCTAATTTAATTGTTTAGAGCCTCGGCTCTATATAAATTTTTTCCCATATAATATCTAAACATAAATGAAAAAGTTAAAAAGATGCTTAGATTTTGATAAGACGGATATGGCCTTGTTTAATATGAACCATTGTCAACATGATGTGGATGCGACTTTTTCCCTTCCTCTTTGTGCAAGGTCCCTTATCTCTAGAGACTCCGAGACGATCTACATGATATATATCATGGGAAAGGTATCTATACTTCTCTTACAACATAGAAGATTTATGCATCTTTTGTCATTCAGGTGTCCAATTTTGATCAAGAAAATCACTCATTGTTTGATCTTAGATCTGCCGTCTCAAAGTATTTTATTTTTAGTTTTTTTTATATAAATTATATGAACATAAAATTTGGTACGTGCCATCTTCTCATTGGGTGCACCTATAAAAAATATTAAAAATAATTTTTGGATAAAATATAATGACAAAACACCCCTTAAAAATTCAGAAGTATTTTGATCATTTTATTTTACTGGAAATAGTTTTTTTATATTTTTCGCTAGTGCAAGTTTAATAGAGGATTAAACATACAAAATTTGGTGCAAAAATAGTTTATAAAAAAAAATTAAAAATAAAATCGTGTAAAGACATGACATTGTGATTGGGGCAATCTTAGCCCTCCATTCAGGATGGACGGTTGGATAAGGGGAAGTCTATAAGTTTTATGCGGTAGGGCAGGCATAGAAAGCTTGACCGTAATATATATTAGAATTGTCTTGGTCTAAGAAGAGTGATGACTTTAAACTTTGCCTTACCCCATCCTATGCCCAGATAAAGGCTGATTGTGTTAGGCATGTCAAAACTCAGCATGAATCATGATATAACTATGATGTCGACAATGATATTGGGATTATCTACAACGAGACCATTTAAATTTTGTACATGGAAGTCACAAACATTTTTGTCTCTGAAATTCCAAAGTCGTTGTTGTAAGAGTGTCATTGAATAGCAACAAAGTTTCAAAAAAAAGATTATCAGATATCCCGACTCACCCCAAGCCATCAAATTTGACATTTATGAGTGGGAATGATTGTAAACCCATGCTCTCTTTGTAGACAATCCCATAGATATTTGTAACCAAAAAAATCCAACAAAATCATTATGCAATTGTATATATTATGTTTTAAAGAATTTGGAAATATCTGTTATTTTAAATTATAGTAACTCATAATTAAATATAAAATGAGGCAAGTGACCTATTCTTAGCTAAAAATAAATAAAAATTAAATTTATCGTATTCCTACATTTCAATAAATATTATTTATTAGGGATCTAATTAGGATATTTGAATAATGGGAATTAATAATAAAAATCTAAATAACTTTCAGAAGCCTAGTTGTACATTAGTTTACACTATTTTCAAATTCTATAAATTTCTAATCATGAAAATTAAAATATGAAAAAGATGTCTTATTCTCTACTTTTACATTATAAAAAGGAAAATTGTCCTATTATCCCCTATTTTTAACTTCTATATCTAATCAAACCTAATAATTGAAAATATTACTTGTAAGTAAAAGAACTCCATCTTTTCTATCTTTCAACCTCCTAAACCGTTTTAACCATGTATTATTAACCTCAACAACTTATGAAATGACTCTATATCTATATCTCTCTCTCTCTCTCTCTCTAAAACACCATCTCTCTCACATCATCATCTCTCTCTCTCTCAAAACTCCATCTCTCTCTCTCACATTATCATCATCTCTCTCAAAACTCCATCTCTCTCCCTAAAACTCAAACTCCATCTCTCTCACTCAAACTTCATCTCTCTCTAAAACCCAAACTCCATCTCTCTCACACACATAAGAAGGTGTACTCATGTGCTCAAGCTAAACCCCTTGGCTGATAAACTCATCGAGAAGCAAAGAGAGAGATGGAGTTTTAGAGAGAGAGAAATGGAGTTTGAATAGAATGTCATTTTAGTGTTTGTTTGGGCAAAAAATTTATGGTCAAAGGGGTCATGGGGATTGTAAAATAGAAAAGATTGAGACCTTTTGCTTACAAGTAAAATTTTCAATTCTTGGGTCTCATGAGATATGAAAGTTAAAAAAATGGCATAAGAAGATATTTTCCTTTATAAAAATTAATTAAATTAAAAAACTGACATAAATAAAACAAGGAGACCTTACCTATATAGAATAAAAGCAAATTTACATACGATTTGTAATAACAAAACAATCAAAATCATTCTCAAATTGGATACATAAATTTTTAAAGAAATTAGAAATTAAAAATCCATATATCATGGTATTAAAATAACTTTTTCTTGAAATAAAAATTAAGGGAAATTTATAAGATTAGAAAATTACCTGATTCCTCCATCTTGGCAAGCAACAATGAAAGAATACAATTTAGTAATAATTATCCGAACCATCCAAAACCATCAATACGAACCAAGGAGAACCCACCCCTTAAGGTTTTGGATGATAGGTGTTTTAGATACATGTTTGTACACCATGAGATCATTTATTTTTTGCACAATCACTTATAGCTATTGGATGCGAAATACAAAAGATAAAAGTGTGCCACAAGATTCAAGATATTTTATTTTGGATTTTATGTCAAAACAATGACACATCGTTCGTTTTCAAATCAAATGATCACCGATGATGGTGACCTCCTTGTATTAAAAGTAGATTTCCTTTACATATCGGAAATCTTTGTTTGTCTATATGAGATATTCTTCATTTTTATTATACAAGCGTGAACAAGTAGACAGCATGTATTTGCCAGCCCTAACAAGAAATAGGGCGTGAGCAACAAACTATGGCGTGAGGTCGGACAAGGGCTAAAGCCAGACCTGGACAAGAGCCTCATTGGCCGGGTTAGGCATGACCAGCCCGACAGCCCTAATCTTTCCTACTTTTTATTTCATGTTCCATAAGGTATTAAAGGAGCTTTCACTTAATAGGAAAAATAATTACGGGAAAACAAAGGGAAATTAGGATAAAGATATTGCTTTAATAGAAATGATCGATATAAATCAAATTGCAAAAGATGTAAAAACATTAGCCACTAACAAATATCCCCGAAATTCATATTAAAGCAATAATGCAAAACAGGCTAATTAATTAATCCCAAAAACGCGATATCATTTTTCTCTTTTCTTTGAGCACAAATCCTCCAATTACGGACAGTGATGGGTATTTGTCCATGAGGACCCACAGCAATAGCAGAATTGAAAAGGCACCTACAAATAAGAAAAAAAAAAATTAATGAAACCATTCTCTCCCATTTATATGGGACCGCTTTTTTTCTTCATTTTAAAAACAAATTAAAAAAAAAATTTGAGCTGGACTAAGGTGAGTTGCTAGACTCTCCTGAATAACTCGTCTCGGCCGGGGCCCAAGTACTTTAGCCAAGTCAGTCATCTGAATACGGCTAGTCCGAGTAACTCGCCTTGGCCAGGGCCGAGTGTCTTGACCAAGTTGATTGTCTGAACATTGCTTGTAATATTTCGGCTTGGATGCATACAATATGTTTTTAAACTTTAAATATATTGTTAACTCAACTTTGATATTTAGGCTTGGATGCGTATAATATGTTTTTAAACTTTAAATATATTATTAACTCAACTTTATGTCAAATACGCTTGAGTGGTTTGCTAGTTAGCTCTAATGAATAAGCTTTGCCCCAAGCGGTGTTGGTCAGTTTTTTATTTATAATCACTTTTTTTCGAGTTCCAAAATCATTTTTTTAGTGTTCCAGACTTCTTGTAGAGAGGTCCAGGTACTAACCAGCACGCCTGTTTACTAGATTGCTGATAGAAATGACGCTCATTATATATAACCATTGTTTTCCATCATTTTTTTAAAAAAAAAATGAGGTGGACTGGAGCGAGTTACTCGAACTCGCCCAAGTAATTCGCCTCGGCCAGGTCCGAATACCTTAGCCAAGTCGATTTTATAAACATTATTTGAAAAATTAGAGTCATTGTTTTCCATAGTCACAATCATCAATGTGAATCACATTTAACTAATTTGAATCACATTTAACTAATTTGAATCAATTTGAATCACATTGAAAAGAATACCTGCAAGTGACATGAGAACAACCTTCATTCTTCTCCACATAATACTTACAGTTGGGGCACCTCTTCCACTTCTTACCCTTTGCAAGTTTATCAAACAAAATATCATTTTTACCCACTCCATCCCCCTTACCCTATCAAACTCCTCACAATTCAATCCACAATGCCATGGAACCCTACAAATAGCACAGAACATCCTCCTACAGTAAGGGCATTCACGCTGAGTTATTTTACCATTTGTATCGTCATCAAACTCCAAAAGCCCAGAACAGTCCTTGAAGGGGCAGTAGTATTTGTTGAACCCCAATATTGAAGCTTCTGATAATGCATCAGCCCATCTCTTGAAAACACTCTCTGGAACAAAGGGTTTGAAGCTTTCTATCTCTATAACTTGCTTACATGAAGGATGAGGGCACCCAATAATGGCACAATTCTCTTGCAATTTCGACGCGATATGGCACCCGACGCATTCGTTGCAGTAGCTATGAGAGCAACCATTGTTAGAGAAGGTTTCTTCATGGGGTTTGTACTCCATGCAAATCTCACAAAAGAAACCAGAGGATGAGGACCCCATTTCTTTCTTTCTAATGGGTGTTTCATTGCTTGTTCTAGATAGAGAAGTGGGTTTTCCTCTAGAGAGAGAAGATGTGATGGAAGAGAAGACCACTTCTTGGAGTTGCAGGCCATCTGCATATGCCTCATCTGAGATGGTGAAGAGCTCTTGGGTTGCTTCATCATTTGAGAGGAGAGAGAAATAGAATTCGTCTACAAAATCTGCAGCCATGGGATGTGAGAGAAATGGAGAGGAGGGGTTTTCAAAAGAGGAGCTCCATTTACTAATTTTTAATGGTACACAAATTGGATTTTATTGATTCTATTTCTAGTTGTTTTTGTGAAAAACTCTTGGAGAAATTGAAGAGCCACTTTTTGGAATTTGCACCCACTATAGTGAAGGGAATTCCCAAACGTTCCATGCACCCTCCATGGGAAATCTTTCTAAACACATTCAAAATATCAAATATTCATAAATAATAAATATAGAAATACACTTAAAATACCAATAAGTTTAGGTAAACGTTTCCATACTTTCTCTGATGTAGAGAAGATATATACTTTCCCCATCCAACAATCCGATTTAGATAAAGTGAGCTACTGACTATTTGATCTAGATTTGGCGTCTCAGAATATTTTATTTTTTAATTTATTTGCTATAAATTATATAAATATAAAATTTGGTATATGTCATCATCTCAATGAGATACAGCTAAACAATTGTTAACAAATATTTTAAATAAAATACAATAACCAAAATATCCCTAATACTTTTAGGGGCATTTTTGTTATTATAATTTATTTGGAATATATGTTTTCTGTTTTTATAGGTGTGAGTTTAAGAGAGGAGTGGACATTTAAAATTGAGTGTCAAAGCATTTTGTATAAAACTAATTAAAAATTAATGCCTCAAAACATTAAGGCATCACGGCTGATTTTATTGTAAGTTTCGAACTTATAAATCAAGAAATTTCTCCTAAATAGGTTAATGCGTAAGGAATTTAGGGAAAAAAAAAAAAGTAACAGACACCCCTTGGTGCAAAACTTATTCATTAGAGCTAACTAGTAAACCATTCTAGTATTTGACATAAAGTTGAATTAATAATATATTTAAAGTTTAAAAACATATGATATACATCCAAGCCCAAAAATCAAACTTGAGTTAAGAATATATTTAAAGTTTAAAAACATATTGTATGCATCCAAGCAGAAATATTACAAGCATTATTCAGAAAATTGACTTGGCCAAGACACTCGGCCATGGCCAAGGTGATTTACTCGGACTGGTAATGTTCAGATGATTAACTTGGCTAAGGTACTCGGGCCCTGACCAAGACGCGTTAATCGGGAAAGTCCAGCAACTCACCTAAGTACAGCTCATTTTTTTTAAAATTTTTTTTTAAATGACGAGAAAAAGATGTTACATATAAATGGGAGAGATTGTATTTAAAGTTTAAAAACATATTGTATGCATCCAAGCAGAAATTTCACAAGCATTATTCAGAAAAGCGACTTGGTCAAGACACTCGGTCATGGCCAAAGCGATTTACTCGGACTAGTAATGTTAAGATGATTAACTTGGCTAAGGTACTCGAGCCCTGACCAAGACGAGTTAATCGGGAAAGTCCAGCAACTCACCTAAGTCCAGCTCATTTTTTTTTTAATTTTTTTTTAAATGACGAGAAAAAGATGTTACATATAAATGGGAGAGAAAGGTTTCATAAATTTTTTTATCTTATTTGTAGGTGCCGTTTTCAATTCTGCTACAACTGTGAATCCTGATGGACAAATACCCATGAATGCCCGTAATTGGAGGATTTGTGTTCAAAGAAATGCGATTTCGGGGATTTTGTTACTGGATAATGTTATAGCGATCATTTCTATTAAAGCAATATCTTTATCTTAATGTCCCTTTGCTTTCCAGTAATTATATTTCCCATTAAGTGAAAGCTCCTTTAATACTTAGTCATGTAACATGAAATAAAAATTAGAGCTGTCAGGCTGGCCAGGCCTAACCCGGTCCTAACCGGGTCAATGAGACTCTACCCAAGGTCTCGCTTTAGCCCAGTTCCGACCTCAGGCCATAGTTTATAGCTCAGGCCTATTTCTTTATGGTTGGCAAATACAACTTGTATAGCTGTTCACACTTGTATAATAAAAATGAAGAATATCTCATACAGAAAGGTTCCCATATCTTTGTTATGTAAAGGAAATATATATAATGAGATCGTTTGCTTTTGATACAACGAGGCCACAATCATAGGTGATTATTTGATTTGAAAATAAATAATTGAGGATGTACCATTGTTTTTGCTTAAAATCCGAAGTAAAATATCTTGACTCTTGCGACACACTTTCATCTTTTTATATTTCACATCCAATGGCTTATAATGATTGTGACCTCCTTGTACAAAAAAATTAAATAACAAATAAATAAATAGACTCATAGTATACAAACACACGTAAAACACCTATCATCCAAAACCTTAAGGGGTGGGTTCTCCTAGGTTCGTATATATGGTTTTTGTTCGGATAATTATCACTAAATCGTATTCTTTCATTGGTGCTTGCCAAGATGGAGGAATCAGGTAATTTTTTAATCTTATAAATTTCCCTAAATTTTTATTTCAAGCTAAAGTTAATTAAATACCACGACATATGGATTTTTAATTTCTAATTCTTAAAATATTTATGTATCCAAATTGAGAATGATATTTGCCCTTTTATTATTACAAATCTTATGAAAATTTGCTTTTATTCTTTATAGGTAAGGACTCCTTGTTTGATTTATGACAGTTTTCGAATTTCATTAGTTTTTATAAGGTAAAAGTAAGGAATAAGATATCTTTTTCTTATTTTGATTTACGTAATTAGAAATTTTTAGAATTTAAAAATAGTGCAAACTAATGTACAACTAAGCTTTTGAAAATTATTTAGCTTTTTATTATTAATTTCCATTATTCAAATGTCCTAATTAGATCCCTTGCGTCACTTTATATTTTATTTTGAGTTTTAATAATTTAAAATAATAGATATTTCCAAATACTTTAAAACGTAATGTATACAATTGCATAATGATTTTGTTGGATTTTTTTTTTGTTACAAATATATATGGGATCTACAAAGAGAACATTGGGTCACAATCATTCCCACTCATCAATATCAAATTGGATGGCTGAGTTAGGAAGTCCGACAATCTTTTTCTGAACTTTGTAGCTATTCAAGGACACTCCTACAACAACCTTTATGGAATTTAAGGGACAAGAATGTTTGTGTCATCCATGTACAAAATTTAAATGGTCTCTTTGTAGATAATCCCAATATCATCATCGTCATAATTTTATCAAGATTCAAGGTGAGTTTTGACAAAATTTTATGTTGGCTGCCTATCTAACACAACCAGCCTTTATCCACGCATATGATGAGTTAAAGGACAGTTTAAGGTCATCACCCTTCATAGACCAAGACAATCCCAATGTATATTATGTAAATCTTCTCGTAATTTCTAGAGATAAGGTCAACTTGCACATAGAGGAAGAGAAAATGTTGCATCCACATCATGTTGACAATGGTTCTTATTAAGGCCATATCCATCTATCAAAATCTAACTTTCTTTTAAATTTCCATTTTTGTTTAGATATTATATTGGAAAAAGTTTATATAGAGCCGAGACTCTCATTAATTAAATTAGAGCCCACCTCAAAAATTTCACTAGAAGAGGTCTTGATGCACAAATATCCTCAAATTGATTATCTCGACATCAAGATGCATAGACATGAAAACAAATGGATTTCAAATTTTAGAAATAATGCATCTTGTAATGCATTTTTGGATCGTCAATTTTCAAGTTCTCATACATCTACTCGATCGATCTACACTACTTTTGGAGCTTTAAATTTTATAATTAAAGATGAAAATATATGTCAAGGCTATCACAAAAATTTCCAGAAGCCACATTTATTTGAAGTTGCGCTTTATTGTTTAAGGCCTTGGCTCTATCTATGCGAACCACACCCTGGTGTATTTATTCGAAATTTAGAATGCAAATTAAATTTTATAATGGGAAGGAATTAAAGATAATAAGTAAAGGAAAAATATATAAAGAGACCATTTACCTTTGGTATAATTTGGTCACAATTAATCTTGACTATTGGATATAAAATTTGGTGGCTATATTTATTTCATTAACCAAGCTCAAAGTTCAAAAGTATTTTTCTCAAACTTTGTGATATACCTAAACTATCATATTTTACATCGGATGGTTGTAAGTAATTGTGACCTTCCTACACAAAATGTAAATAATCTCATTGTATACAATCCCGTAACTAAAATATTTGAATAAAAAAGACAAAAATAAAGCCTTAATATATTTGGTCAATATTTTTTTGTAATTTTTTTTTATTATTTGATTCCTCTTATGAGCCTAATTTACAATTTAAATTTTAGGTAAATATAATTTTAAATCACAATTTAAATAAAAAAGAGCAATTAAAATTTTATTTTATAGCGCTTGGATGAGACTCTACACTTTAAGCGTCCACATTTTGTGCATGCTATACCATCCTAATTAGGAATAAATTAAATTCCTGTTTCTTGGATTCATTAATTCTATTGAACAAGATAAACTCAATAAGTTTCTTTAATTTCGCTAATTCTAGCTTTCAAGTAAAATACAAGGAATAGGACACGTTCATGGTCTTTTGAATTTCTAATGACAATTTTTATAATTTAAAAAATAGTTTACACAAATGAGGAACTAAGGGTTTAGACCATTTTTTTTTTTGGATTGTTTTCTATAAAATCATTTACTTTTGATACAAAGAGCTCACAATCATTTATAGCCATTAAAAGTGAAACCCGACATATTGAAGTGTATCACAATATTTGAGAAATTTTTTTTGGACTTTGTGCGTAATCAATGACACATTATCAATGCCCAATTTTACATGTAATAATCAATTATAATTGCCCTCCTTGAATAAAAAATAAATGGTTTTATTGTACATGTCTCCTTTATTTTTAGCATGAGGACGTCATTGTCACTCTTGTCCATCATATTTTAAATTGGATTGTTGTGACTGTGTTATTGAATGGATTAAAATTCATCGCAAACTTTGTAGCACAACCCAAGCAATCCAATTTAACATCTAATGGCAACTAGCAATTGTGTCCTCCTTGTAACAAAAACAAATGATCTCGTAATATACAATTTTCATAAATATTTAGGAATTA